GGAAATTTGATAATCGAAATCAGCGGCTCCCATTACCATAGTATAAGGTTTTTGGCTTGTTTGGTTTTGTTTCGAGGCAGAATATGGCTTTCAACAGCCTAAAATCCTTGTCGAAGTTCCTGCAGTAATGAAGAGCGAACGGTGATCCGTTCGATACTGTGAATCTAAGTTGAAACCTTCTCTACAGAATGGCAATTAAATGGGGGAAAAAAGACACAATGGTAAGGGAGATATTAATGTTTGAAAAGTGTGTGCTTACTTTTAGGACACCCTGTAGTATCGATAGGACGATACAAGCGGCATATAATAGAAATTTTTGATAGAACATCATAACGTACGCCAGAATTTTTTACAAATCCAATTCGTCGTTTTTAGCTTGCTATGGAGGATATGGAAAATATGAAGGATATGGAGGATACGGTGGATGCGGTAGGTACGGAGGATGGGGAGGATACGGTGGATGGGGTTAATCATACCCTTCCTTCGGGTTAGGCTATGCAGGAGGCTACTATCTTGGTGCCCCTTGGGGATGGGGACAGCAACAGCAGCAATGCATAAGTATGAGAAGAACTATAATTATTTTATGGTAAAGAGGTACATTTGCTTCTCAAAACCATGTGTAAATCTTCAATGCTCAGCAGGATACACATACAATCAGAATACTAACCAGTGTTGTCGGTAAATATCGATTATTCAGTACGATTGTTGAACCGCACAGTAACAGAAGAAGAACAAGTTGCGATGAACTTCGAAAGCAACTTATTATACAGGTGTCCCAAAAAAATGTTTCGAACGTTTGATCGTTAATATCTCTCTTCCCAAGAAGTCTTTTGCCTTACCTCAGGGACCGTTCTGTAGAGCTGGCTTCAACTTAGATTTGCATTAGGTAACGAATCACCCATCTCTCTTTATTACTGTAGGATTACGGTAGAAACTTGAAAGAGGGTTTTAAGCAATGAAAGGCCATATTTTGCCTCAGAAAAGAAACAAAAACAGCCTGAAAGCTTTTACACTAGGCTAATTAGAGTTGCTGATTATAGCTGTAAAGTTTCCGACTTATTATGATGCTTCATTGAAGAGTTATGCCAGGTAAGAGGTAGCGGCCATTTTTTCAATGTTCCTAAAAAGTGCGATTACACCGTTTAGAAAACTTCGTAACCTTGTGAACAGTTGAGTATTGAACCCAGCGTCCGTAATACTACAGTAATGAAGAGAGTTGGGTGATTCGTTCTCTAATGCAAATCTAAGTTGAAGCTAGCTCTACAAAACGGTACCTGAAGCAAGGCAAAAGACTTCTTGGGAAGAGAGATATTAACGATCAAACGTTTGAAATATTTTTTTGGGACACCCTGTATAAATGTGCTAAAAAGTTTGCTTCCTTATCTGCAGAAAAAAAAATTGTTGTCTTCTAACAAATTTTGCCAAGCTTTTTTGCTATCTATCCGATAAATCAATCGCTGTGTATGTCAACCAAAAATTTTCCAATTATTAGATTTTGCTGTGTCCATCTTCATCTGTCCGGCCATTCATTGAAAATGAGCGAGGAATATACAGCTGTAGTTTGAGTGTTAGTGCAAATAGACTTCTACGCAATGCCTAAGAGCTTCCAAGAAATTTAGCAGAAGTGCATGACCGGAATTGCAAAAGTTTAATAATGGAACTTAAGCACACTGAATGATTACGTCCAAGAAAGACGCTTAGAAACGCCGCTTTGCTCAAGTTTTGCAGCGGCCAATGTACTTTTGCTAACTTTTTTGGGAGCATTTAAAGCTCTGGTAAGAATTCATGTGCACTATCACTTTCGCGAAGAATTTCGATGTTTGCTCTCTGTGACAGAGCGGCGTTGAAAGCAATATGAAGCATAATTAAGTATTTTTTGCGCAACTGTGAAAGCCAAAAAATCCGTGTAAGAATTTGTACAACTATTCGGTCAGTCAATATATCGAACTGTAACAGAGGGTGTCATTACGATGTAATTTTTTTCGGCTCTCTCGTCCAAATGCCGTACATGGTTGGCGACAGAAGAGCTGACATTTGTTGGCTTGTGTAGTTTCTTCAACAGTATCGGATTCGCTGCTTAGCTTGAAAAAAAATGACGCATCATTCAGACGTATGCCGTTTCCATTGGCATATTCTGGAATTCTATGTTTGTTCGAACTTCACACATAAACTCTTGATCTTTTCGTCCTTGCTTGCGTTCGCCTGTATGAATATATCAAAACTATTATTATTTGGACTGGGTACGAAATATCTTTTACGTGAGAAAAACTCAGGAAGTCTTTTGCTTTGCAAACATCTTCTTGTATTCAAGAAAATGTTGCTAGGTTGTATCTGATGTATCTTTATAATCATCACATTTTGAAGATTCATTCTTTGATTAGGCCTTACAACATGCAAATCATAAAATAGCTTTGTTACTTTTTTATAAAGATGCAAAAATGTACAGATGTAAATTATTAAAACCTCATCAACAAGTAGAATTTTCCAATTTTTTCAATTTTGTTTACATTCAAATATCCCTTGACATATTATCTTCATAACGGAATCTGCCTTCCAAAAAACCGCATCCCAATGGCGACTTCTAAATATTTTGATTTTGTGAACACCCAGAAATTGTGAAGTGTTTACGCAAGCATTCATCCTCGCCAACACTATTTACTCTAAGTAAATGTTAAGGGCTTATCTGCAGTATTTTTTCTATCAAAGAGTTGCGTTTACTCGGCACATGGGATCAAGGAAAGACCAGTTTTGCTTCCTCTAGTTTTTGTATAGAAGTATGCTATATGTTTACACATTCAAGTGGCACATTCGTCAACACTGCATCTGGATAAAATTTTGTGAAGAGGTTGTGCGCTTCACATATGTGTACGTGTTCCGAATAGCATACAAAGTTGCCTATCTCCTAGAAAATCATTTGTTGAATTCACCACTCAAAATTTCGTATTTTTTAAAGTTACTGAAAGTGTGTTATAATGCAGCAAGATTATAAGCAAAAATATATGTGGCTTCTTAGGAGAGAGAGACTTACAAGGAAATGCAAAAATTTGAACTTTCCAAGTTTTTCACTCAAAACTCATCTTTTGCACGAAATTCATAGAAGATTTGGAGTTACAATAGACTTATTGTTAAAAACTAGTTTTCTTACCCGGCTTCGCCCGGCCCTGTAAAAACATATGATAGAGGCCTTTCCCTATCCTTGTAGAGCCTTCTCCTGTTCTCAATTCTACATCCCAATTCTCTATTCCCGCTGTTTTAGAAATCAGCATGCTTGATTACCCTCCTAAACCAACTCCCAGCCCCGTAGATCAGACTTCAAAAAAATTGACAAAAATTGATAAAATCAATAACGATCGATGATAAAAAGTAGCCTATGACACCCGCCCCTCCCCAAAGTGTATGTATGCCAAGTTTGGTGCGGATCGGTTCAAAATAACATTTTCGGAACATTCGTACAGACACACAGATAGACACATAGGCACATACAAACAGGCATTCAGCTTCATACAGGGTGTCCCAAAAGTAAGTACACACTTTTCAATCGTCAATATCTCTCTTCCCAATGGGTCTTTTTCTGCCATTCAAGTACAGTTCTGTAGAGGAGGCTTCAACTTAGATTTACAGTACCGATCGAATCACCGGTCGCTCTTCGTTACTGTAGGATCATGGTATGAACTTCCACCATGTGGAACCATTATGAAATATGCCATCTGACAAAAATTTTTTCAACAAATCTAAAATTTCGCGTACTAGGGTTTTCGCGCACGCTGATTCCACTACACAACTTTTTAAGAGTGTTTTCAGCCTTTTTGACCGTGTAATCACATTTCTGACAAATACTTGCAGTTCGGTTATTACGGTTTACCTGCTTTGGAAAGAAGCATCACAGTAAAATGGAAATTTCATATGAGAATAGCGGCTTCTATTACGATTGTATAAGAGATTTTGGCTTGTTCGGTATTGTTCCGAGGCAGAATACGGCTTCCAATGGCCTAAAATGCTTGTCCAAGTTCCTACAGTAATCCTACAGAAATGAAGAGAGGTTGGTAATTCGCTCAGCACTGCATATCTAAGTTGAAGCCTCCTCTACAGAATGGTGCCCGAATGGCAGAAAAGGACACAAGGGGAAGGAAGATATTAGCGATTGAAAAGTGTGTACTTACTTTTGGAGCACTCTGTATATAAGATTTGATACAGAATTCCTTAAGTTTGAAACTTCTGCGAAAATAAAAAGCTTTGCCTTATCTGACTGTTCTTTCTTTGTTCTGCTGGAGTCGATATATGGAATGAAAACACAGGCGAACTGTGAACAAAGGTAGAATGACACATTGCATGTTCTTCTATTCAAACTCTCCGCAAAGATTATAGTTTGAATACAATTAATAGAAAGAGGAAGTAATGCTGCATGAAATTTGAGTTAGTGCAGCGGCATTTCTGCGAATTTTAAACTGGTTGAAAGAAAAAGTAAGTTATTTTAGGTAATATAATAAAATGTATGTTGGAAGGTTCTTGCAAAGTTCTCATTAGTTTTGCAGGCTGCATCATCGTCCGTTTCTAAATGTGAAATAACATTGGCTTTTGTCGGCAGCATTTTTTACCCAGAGCAAACTTATGTAGTGTTTAGAATGAGCAAACTGTGTAAACGAAAGAGACTACGCAGTAAAGAGTGTTCTAACACGAAGCAGCTGATCATATTGCAGAAGGTCGAAAATCAACTGTCAGGACACAAATTGCATGAACAAAGACTGAAGGCTTGTAGCTAGCAATTGCAGCTAGCGTGTATGTTTACCTGAAAGGTATAGGTATAAAACGGTAATGGAGGCTCTGCCTAATGACTCTCCGCTCAGATGTCCTGCATTCCCTCGTCTTCCAAGTGGTTCATAGCGTATACCAAAAATTCTTGTTCCAAAGTCTCGGAAACAACGGCTCGCTCAGCTCTCACAAGCCAGTTGCGGACTACTCGAGTAAAAGTTTGCGACGTAACAGAATTTAAACCTTTTCAGATTACAAGTAGCACACTATGACAAAGGTTTTGCTTATTCTAGCTTTTGCGCTTCTGATTACCTCCTCCATTGGTGAGTCCGATCCGATAATACATTCATTATGTTCTAGCAAAGCAGATAAAGGTAGAAGCGCCAATTTTTGATTTTTATGCCTTCAAATGATCCTGACATGCAAATTTATTGAGATTAGAGAAGAGTGCCCTTCAAAAATTGACTATCAAAGCCTTGATGTCCACAGTTGCAATTCAATTGCACTTTGCAATTCGAAAATCGTGATTTTCTTCAGTTCAACGATATAAGCAGTGAAACAATGGACAGCCGATTTGAAGACTTTTGCTATACAGAATGTTAGAATATTTGGCAAAATGCAACTTTATCCTGATTATAGTTTTATGCTTATTCTTTTTTACTGAATAGCATTTGCTCCCTTATATCTATTAGGTTGTCCCGAAAGTTTTGTCGGTTTTTTCCATCGCTCACTAAAACCTGCATAACACCAATTCAAGGAAGGTCTAGGTATTATTTGATTCAGATTTTCATCCTCTTTCTTAGAGCTATGTTTGTTCTCTGACCTACCCTGTCTTCGCAATGCTATCGCCATGGATTTTTGAGCAACTCAGCAGTAACGCCAAATCTTTTCTGAATAATAAAAAATTTTCTCCTACTACCTTCAAAAAGCGCTAACAACCGTTATGTAGAGCCATTCCTCGGCTACATTATACTTATTTTAGATTGCATGGGTCACGTTTATCAAGTCTTAAAATAATTATTTATTTAAGAAAAACCACGGCTTTTTGCTTACGTCTACCACGTAAAATTACCAAAAATTCCAAAAAGCCGATTTTTCAAAGCAAATTAAACTTGGTATTGTTGCATAATAATTATTTATCGGCAATCAAGTTTCAATTCGCAAAAACTCCGAAAGCTTTCATGTTTTTGCCGCAGTTGCGCGTTCCATGGTTTTACCAGAAATCGAGACCTCCGAAAAAATAATTCTCTAAAGCTAGAAACAACAATTTAGGAGAATCTAAAAATATTACCGTATAGCCCGAGAATTGTTCTATTTGTGCCATGCTTAGTACTTTCCAAAACTTTGGAATGAAATTTTTAAAAACTAGCCTAACTTTGAGCAGATAAAAATGACGAGTGAAGATTTGTGGTAATTATCAAAATAACCATACAGGATCTTGGCTCTTAAATGTAACCATAAGAATGAGAAGGAAAAGCTGCATCGAATGCATGTTGAAAAACCCGTCGAGGTCTTCATTGTGCGTGGTTTTATAGTGGTTTGAAAAAACCGACAAAACTTTCGGGACAACCTAATATATTTATAATTTTCTTGCATTAATCATTCGACAGCCAGCTAAAATAAAATCTCTGATATGTGCGGCTTAAGCAGACAGATTGTAGAGGCTACAGTAGTCTTAACCCAACTTGTGTGTTAAAAAAGGATTATTATATTCTTTCTACGGCAAATACCTGCACGCTATACTTTGGACCGAATCGAGTAAATATTCGAGCGTTCAAGTAAAGTCGATTAAATTTTATTCGAAATTCGATTATTCGGAAATTTCAGAAATTCCATTATATTTGATGTTCGCCTATTCGAAATTTGTCAATTTCGAATTTATTCGGATACTCGAACATTTGAGGTATTTATTTCAATGTTTGTTCGATTATGCGACATTTTCGTGTAATTGAAAAACTACATGAAAACGTCACAATTTTGATTGCTATATCAAAATTATATAGCAAAATTCGTTTGTTATTCAAATTTTCCATTACATACATAAAGTCCTTTCATTGTGCTAATTCGATCAAAATTTGTTTGAATGTTCTACGTAGTCGATGCAAAATAGTCGTTTTTTCGAATTTTTTCTCGGATAAATTGATTATTTATCATTTTTGGTTTTTGAAAACATTCGATATTCGGATATTCGACATTTTTTGTTTTTGAAAATCTTCGACTTTCGGTCGATATTTTTGACTTTCGAATATATGATTATTTGATTATTGGAAAAATTTTTCAATATTATAAAGACTACGCGCACGACTGAAAGATAGTCAATGTGGGCTTCTGTAGAAGTCTTCTGTAACTTAACTATTCTTTTCCTCTTCGGTGATAAGACCAGTTCTTCTCGTCATGAGCCTCGAACATAAAGCGAATATCAAGGCAAGGGGCTGTCGGCCGACATTGTCACCAAAATGTCGCTTACATGTTACTAGCTGGCAAACCTGGCTTCGCCCGGTCCTGTCATCAATATTTTCGTAGTCCGCATGCTCGCTTACCCCCCCCCTGTACCAGCTACCAGGTACCTGAGACTTCGCAAAAATTCGGTAAAGTCGATATTGTTCGGTAGCCCATGACACCTGCCTGCGACGTAGTGTATGTGTGCAAAGTTTGGACCGGATCGGTTTAAAGATGGGTTTTCCTATTCGGAACATACGTACGCACATAGAGACAGATTTACAAACATACATTCAGCTTTATTTATAAGATTCCTTCAGCACAAGGCGGATTCGGATTTGGACGCGGATATCGGCGCGGATATGGTCGCGGATATGGGCGCGGATTTGGTGGTTGCGGAAACCCATATTGTCCATTTCGTCAAGCATTAGCTAATGCTTATAGTAATCAACTTAACATAGCAAACAATCCACTGCTACTATATTAACGTACTGGTATGTGGCTCATTTGATAATTTTTTAGTGATATGTGCATGTTCAGGACATTTACTTGAATGGTGTATGTCACTCAGGCTATATCGCAGTCAAAGCTTTATGTGGTGAAGAGTGTCGGAACAGTGAATTTATAGCGTCCTGTATAGTTATTCCTCTAATCATATGTATAATATGTGGAACGTTTGACAACATACTCGTTTAGCAAATCTAGTCCAGAGGAAAAAAGAATGTAAAGCAGTTCTTTACATTTGTTCTGCTATAAAAATGATTAATTTTGAACTAAACCTCGTGGCCGCTCAACAACCCATGGGTAAGTAAACCTTACCCAGTAGGTTAGCCTACCCTGTGGGTCTGCCTCCTCAGCGGGTTTTGCTCACTTAGTGGGCAGGCTATACCACAGACGTTAATCACAAACCTCTACTGGCTAGCTTACCCAGCACCCCTGACGTTAGCAAAGCAACCACTTCTATTCGAAGCACAATTTAGCATCCTTCGGTGTGTGTTTTTTACATTTTTGTAATTTTGTTCAGTTTTTTTTTACAATTAGTTATGTACATCATCTCCTACGTATCCACAAGCGCCTCCTTTGGGTTATTCAACTCAACAGAATCGCACGGTGCTGTCAAAACCTCGAATCGTACCTTTGCGTTCATAATGCGCAAGCTACTTGTTGGATTCAACAGGGGACTGAATCTTGAACAAAAGCTTACATGTTCTTAGTCGACACGCTTTGCACGCAAGAGCAGAGAGTCACAAAATTAGGGAAGAGACGACACTTTGGACTGAGACGATGAGGAGCGATGCTTGCAAACATCGTGTGCGACTTTGCCCTTGGAACTCTACAAAATCATACGATGATTTTTTGGCAACCTACAGCTTAGTAATTTGATATTTCGAATTTAGATGTCAAATATGTTTGAGTTTCGTGATTACGCTAACTCAGTCGCACATATCATGTGCGACTGAGAACTATCGAGTTTTTGCAATTTTTTCTAAATAGTGCCCAAACTAGGCAGGGGGGTGTAAAAAAGTATGACGGTCATGGAAAAATAGCCTCGACCAATGTTGTTGATGGTTTACTGATTTTTCACCATTTGAGAGTGCCCAAACTTGGCAGGTAGAATATCATGCTTAACCTTAAAGAGTCCTTACCTTCAAAAAACTACACAAGCCCGAAAATTTCTGTTAGGCTCATGCGAATCACTGATTCCAAATTTGAAAGCAGACTTCAGACGTGCTTCTTCCAAAATTATTTTGTGTAAACCATAACAAATGCTTTTCTAAAATTAAAAATGCGGAATGGAAAAAAAAAACAAAACAGAACTGAAAAGGATTAGAAAACTTGCAAACAGTTGTGCATTGAAGTCAGCATGCGTGAAATTTCTGGTACAAATCGGGGGTTTGTTTCTTGAATTTTTCAATCTTTCTTACAGTGGCATTACGTGATGAGTTTCCAACGTAGTCCTAAAAAATTGAGATTTTCGCAACATACTGAAACTCTAAGTTGAAGCCATTCCTGCAGATTGGTAGTCAGAGATCAGCCAAAGACCATGAAGCAAGAAATATCAAGTAATCAAACAGTGCGCACATTGTTTGGGAAAGCCCATATTACACTGTAAGCAAAAATTGGAGTCAAACTTTTCTAACGACCCGGCTACGCTGGGCCCTGTCAAAATACTATGATAGAGGTCCCATTCCCATCCTTGTACAGCCTTTCCCTGTACTTACTACACATGCCAATTTCCTAATCCTGCTGTGTTAGTAATCAGCATGCTCACTTATCCTCGTGTGCCAAACTTTAGCCCTTTAGCTAGCTCAAAGTTTGCAAAAAAATATATAAAATCGATTTAGAAAAACTCATATTGTACCCGTAATCAGCGTGGTCGATTACTCCCCCATGCCAACCCCTCCCCCCCCCCCTCCACATAGGACAAACTTTACGAAAAAAATCGATAAATCGATATGAATTGATAACGAAAAGTAGCCTACGATACCCGCCCCGTCCCGAGGTCTATGTGTGCCGAATCCGGATTGGTTTTAAAAAATGGAGTTTTCTACTCGGAACATACGTACACACATACGTACAGACAGACAAACAAACATTTTTCTTGTAGAATAATGACATTATGGCTAACTAGCAAGTGGGTAAAGCAGATGCATCTGCCTAGGTTGGAGTACCAAAATTTTTACACCGCCAGTTTGTTCAAAGATTTTGTGCATGGATCACTTTCAGATAGTTTTGATAGAAGAGATTTTGCTCAAAAGATTTCTCGCAAAATCAACAGAAGGTGACGCTAACTTTACTACACAAAATAAGCGCAAATATAAATTTCTGAAAACTTTTATCACCCCTAACTCGTACACTTTCAACTTATACATAAAAACACCTTGCTAATCTTTTCACATTTTCTCTCAAATTCTAGTTAATCTCTTAGAACTTTCAAAAATTCTTCCAACCTTGCTTTCTCATTATCTCTTTCGAAATTTCATAGAAGTTAATACTCAATTTTGGTTATCAGTCCTACTCCTTAGCGAGTTTTAGACACCGGAACGGAATATTTTCTGCAATCCCAAAAAAATATCATAGAATCCCGGCATTTTTTAGTTTCCAGCCCCATTTTTTACCTGTGTGGTAAGCTGTGCACACTATGCCAAATGACATTTACACAATATTTGGCGAGTTATGGGCAACGTAAAAGTGATTAATCTAGAATTCTTTAAAGTCTTTGAAGAGTCTTTTTGAACCATATTGTTCTGACCTTTATACAAAAACACAGTTCAATAGAATATTTTTTGAAAAATCCTATGCTTAAAGATCTCCATTTATAAGAAGGAACCGCCTACTTTAGCATGACACACACTCATGATGCCCAGAATTATGCCATCCTGAAGGTTTCCTAAAATATCCCTGAGTAGCTTATACGTTACTCAAAGAAAAGAAGCGCCCCACTCTCCTACAATAGATTTTCAGTAACTGCAAAAATGCCCACATTGAAAATTTTCGGCAGCGAAGAGCATAGTCTCTCAAAATAACTGCTAACGCGCCGCTAGTCCATCATTGTAAAGAGATTAACCTCGACAGATTCCGAAAATGCTCAAGTGTTACTTATACACCGTTAATTAGAGAAAAGAATCCCACGATTTCAAAAGAAATCAAAAACCAGTTGGTACAAGGGACTTCTTCATGTTCAAAATGATCTCTCAGTCGAGAAAATCCTCAAAACGCCTTAACACGCACCGATGCTGCTTAAAGAAACACCTAGAAGGCTAATGGCATTTGGATACAGTATCCATCGACGTACCGTTTTTTTGTAAGGTGTAATCGAGCGTTATAACAAAACTGCAGCGATTACTGTGTGTTAGACCGTTTCTCACGCAAATTACTTGCCCTAGTGTAAACAACTTTGTGACGATTGTCAGCTGTCTGTAGCACAATATTCGTATACTACACTTTAATTATTTTATTATGTGTATATAACACCTAATTTGTTTGTGCGACTGCCTCAATTTCCGATGATAACACTGTAAAGCTAAAGACCTCTTTTTACATTACCAGCCAATTTGCGAAATACGAGAAGCTACAATCCAATTTACAAAAGGATATTCATCATATCTCATTGGATATCAATCCCAAACACCTATAGGCGAGTCCTAATCAGGGCTTGGCACGAGGTGGCTTTTGGAAAATGCAAAGAACGAAGTTACCCTTGACTTTCGCGAATTTTTACCTAGTCACTTTTAACCTTGAATCCGTCGTAAAAACCCTTAAAACGTCGAAAAAACTCCACAATTTTTGTGTCTTTTCGGCTTCAAACCGATACCTCTTTGCTTTTTGTTCCAGAAACGATATCCAGCTTGCTAACAAGCCATCTGCGCTGAGCCCTGGTCCTAATTCGAAATCTATTGTATAAAACAGGAATATTTGTGGTAATCTGAACAGAGACTCACGTCCTTTAGAGTGGAAGACAGTTCGGACGATCGCAATGTGGTTAACATTTCTTGACTTGATTTTTTGTTTTCACAGTGCTTTTCGCTCTCATGATCTCACTATTTTATTGTTCGACAGTTTCAGTTCACAGTTTTATCTCTTTTGTCACGCTCGCAGACCCTGTGGTCACGCCACCGTTAGAGGAAAATCTGCTCATACATACCTTCCCGCAAAGGCTAGACAATATCAGAAAATGAGTAATGAACGTGTTCGCAACTTACTCGGAAATATTCTTCATACGAATCAGTGAAACTTGTGCCTAATTATTGTCGTGATATTGTAAATCTTCAAAACTAGACTTCAAAAAGCAAGGCTTAAGCCACTTTACTTTACTTTAGCTTACTTTACTTTACTTATAACTCCAAGGTGTAACACAAAAGAACAAAAAACAGCAAAATACAACGCCACTCGCGTAGAAAAAAAGGTTTCGATATATTACAGTCATAACCCACAAATATTGTTAGGACCTTCTCGTCTGTAAAGAAATTAGTTTCAAGTAATATAAACGGAAAATAATAAGACAGCTTGATTTTTATATTTTGAGATTTTTTGTTTCGAACAAAAACAAACAGGCTGCAACTGAAGGTCTGCTTGCATAAGCAACCTTCGCCTATTATTCTGACAACGAGTTACCGCTCCTCTCTCACAACCCTCCGCGTGGCTCCACCGAGAACTCGGACAGGGTTTTTTGAACAACTCTTATTGCGCTGCTAAACTTCAAAGTCATAAAGCACGTGACATACTCTTCGGAATAGCTCTTCATGCTCTTTCAAATAATACAGAATGTTCCAAAAGTAAGTACACACTTTTCGATCGTAACTTCTCTTTCCAATAACTTTTTCTTAGCTTTAACTATAATTCAGTAGCGGAGCCTCAACTTATTTACAGTAACGAATTAACCATTGCATCTCACTACTGTGGAGTTGTAGGATACTGAGAAGAGTTTTGAGTCATCAATGGCTACTCATTGCCTCAGGATAGATCCTCAACGGGTCGAGAACTCTATCACTGAGCCAAACTGAGTCGCTGATGATTAGTATAAAATTCGCATATTAAGACTTTTTTCAAGAGTTTTATGCCTTGTAAATCACAACGACGTTTTTTCAGTGTTTTTCGAAAGTGTTGATTGGACATTTGTAATTTTCGAAAACTCATAAATAGTTGTTGATGAATCCAGCATGTCTGAGAACACCGCTTCATGACTTTCCAGA